TCAGTCTGAGTAGCGATTCTCATAGCATACTCATCTGGAGAGAGCGGGGAAGCCGCAATCATCCCTCGAACATCATTGAAAGGGACAGGTATGGAGGTGGCGGTGTTCTTGTTTGGGGAGGCATCGTTTGGTAGTCGTACAGACCTTCACATCTTCGACGCAGGTTCAGTCAACGGGACCCGTATTGTAACGAGATTCTTCTTCCATATGTGCGTCTTTTTGAGGTGCTATGGGTCCGCAGTTCTTTTCATGGACGACAATGCACCGTGTATCGCACAGTAGCTGCCGAACAGCTCTTAGAGAGTGAGGAATTGAACGTGGATTGGGCCGGCACGATCTCCGGATCTCAATCCCATCGAGCATGTGGGATTTTCTAGGCAGGGTGGCGCTTGCAGCTCGTACCTTACCACCAGTATGATTCCGGAGCTTCGATTGGCGCTGCAAGACGAATGGGCAGCAATGCCTCAACAACTCATTGACACCCTCATTCTCAGCATGGCAGACGCTGTGAAACCTGCCTAGCAGTCAGGGGAAATCATATCCCCTGTTAAAGACCGGATTTTCTTGCTGGACACTCATCACGGATGTTTCGGCCTTCAGTCGCATTGCGCTCCATGCTACTTTTTCAATAAAGCTCTTTTTTTATCCCTCTGATTTCTCTTTTAGTAAGTGTTGCTTACATTACTCATGTCCTTATGTATTGGGGATCTTACGGTATTAAATGTGTTGATTGGAAAGCATTTGTACAAAGTTATATTGAAAAAAAGCGTCTCGTCCTTAATTTTGCACACCAGTGTATATAACGCAGTGGGTGTATATACATATATGTATATATATAACAGAGTGGGTATATATAAATATATATATATATATATATATATATATATATATGTATATATGCAAGATAAAAATATGAAAGCAAGCTTCTAAATTTAATTCAGTATAACCCCTTTTATTTTCTATTTCATTTGGGAACTTCATCTATCTGTCATAGAAATAGCGCTTAAGTTTAAGCTGCGTCATTCAAATTAATCACGCGATCTTACGAACCCTTAATGCAGATGACCAATCACCGAATTGTAAACCATACCATAACTAAAAACTGACTCCCTCCCTTCTTTCTATGAACTGATGCGTAACTTTCGGTTCAGCTTTCCTCCTGGCCAGAAGCTTTGCGGCTACCTTCTTTGTTCAAGGAATATGTACTGATCTAACAAAATGTTAGAACGCATAAGACGCTCGTCTGTATGTGAACCAAATATTGCGAATCCCGACTTGCTTTTCTTCAGTAATATAGTTATCTTGAATCCGGGCATGTTTGCCTTGCCATGTTTCTTCGCTACTTATCTGTTGCGCCACCGCCAAGCTCTAAATAATTCATTTTATATCATGACATTTTAGTCCGACAGCATGTGTAACTGCTGCCTAAAACTCCAATGGGAAAAGTATCTGCAAGTTCGTCCTTCTTAAAGTTAGATATCATCGAGTATCCAAATATGGTACTCACTTCATTTTGCAAATTCTTCAGAAAAAATACGTGGAACTAACTCCCAATGCAGTGCTTCCAAAATTTGTGCTTTCATTACATATATATATATATATATATATTACGGAATGGGTATATAAATTTATATACATACCTATTCTGTTGCTCGGCTCAGAGCGCTCAGTTTTTTTGTATTCTTATATGTTGGTAAATTTTGCATTTTTTGATATAAAAATGATTGAATTATGTTATTCTTATCTTTCGGTTAAGGTCTTTATGCCTTTAGTTAATCTCCATGCAATAGTTGTAGACAACAATTTAAAAGTTGTTTGAGTGCGACTTAGCCTAATTTATTTTTTACCATAGCAGTCTTATTTGTTTACATTTCAAAATTTAGCGGAATAGTAAACTAGGTCAGTGTCTTTTTGCCGAGTCGGTCCAAAAAGGAGCTTTTAGTTTTGTGCACCAAAAATTTGCTTTATTAAACTCTTTTGCATCGAAGTCGCCCAAAACGCCAGACAATTCAGACATCCGCAGGTCACCCGAACAAAGTACAATAATATTCTTTGGTCCAAACGCCTGAATCATTTCCTACCTAGTGCTTTCCCGCACCATGTGACTGTATCGCTCATTGCTTTCAGGAGTTGTTAAATGATATGCCAATCATTTTTTTAAGCGATTGAAAGTAGCTCTGCTATTTTAATGCACCTTCTTTTTCCTTTGTTTACTGTCAATGTTTAGATATTGATGCCCGAATTTGCATTTCTTCCAAACGGGAAACTTCACACTGGCTGAAAGCATACCGAGAACGAAGTTGTAGCTTTACTTAAGTGTGTTATTTTTAACACTGCAGTATTCTACTTGTCATGGGGACAGGAAAAGCATTCCAAGAGGAATTCGTATATACGGGCGTTTTCGATGTTGGAGGAAACGAGATTTGGTTCTCTCTCAATGCGAAAGAGTTAAAGATGTTTTTGCATGACATCTGTACTTAAGGACAGAATAAAGCCTACCTTTCCCCGAAACGGATTTTTAAATTGATTTAAAATCGATTGAGTAGAGATATTTTTCCCTAACGTCTGTATGTATGATCTCGTATAACTAAAAAACGAGTAGCCTCAGAACGCTGGAATTTTATATATAGGTTTTTTATAACATTTACTTGTGCACCTCCATTTTTGGTCGAAATCAGCGCACCAAAAGTGTATAAATGGATTAATATATAGATATATTACAAAAATAGTATAATAATAAAACAATATATGTATGTTTATTATGATAATAACAATAATATTTGGTGTTTCATGTTTTTGTATATTTTTTGTATTTTACGTTGCCACGAAATCAGAACTATATCAATTGAATGAGAAATCTATCTCTAATGAAATTTGAGGAAATAAGTTTAAATGGAATGCAGCAAAAATGCGTATAGTTTAATATTCCGTACAAGGAAGTCCTGTGGTGTCCGCATCAGATTTTCGTCATAGCAGCCACACTTGTTTACATTTGAAACTTAGCAGTTTAGTGATTTATGTAAGTTTCTGCACCTTCAGTGTCTTTTTGTTACGTGGGACCAAAAGTAAACTTTCAGTTTTGTACACCGCAAAATCTGCCTTCTTGCCTGCTGGCTAAATTGTTTGTTTTTGCGTAGAAACTCTAATAATTATAAAAATTGTTTTTATAATTGTTTTAGCTGTATTTGATTTTTTAAGTTTATATTTTTTGATTTTTAATGAAGACATTTTGAGTATTTATGTGTTTATGGCTTGCCGCGAAGAGCATCCTGAATTAATTAAATGAGAAATCTATCACTAATGAAATTCGAAGAAAGAAGTTTAAATGATGAAATAGGTTTAATTGAAGCATCACAATTTTTTAATTAAAATATTTTCAAAGCTGCTGAAACAAGCTCATTAACAAATACAACTTCACATTTTGTTCTCACAAGTCAAAACTAGACAAAAAGAAGACGGAAAATCGATTTCAAATGAAATTGTGGAAGAAATACTAAGGAATAAATTTTATTCTTTTCTCCACGGAAAGAAGACGTTCTTGCCATAGTCGAAAGAGCATACGGTTCGCAATATTCTTCGAAGTGCCCGAGCGTTGTAACATGATTTGACTCTCTCTTTGTCGATAATACGAAAGGTTCTGCGAACCTTTTTTGTAAAATGGTACCCGTACAAGATCCAAGTTCTGCAAGATCTGTATTCTGCTTACATGGAGAAATTCACTGATTTTGCTAGCCTTCTTTTAGCCATAATAGCCATTGATAATATATAGTCTTGGATCATTTTGTCACCGGAAAAGTGAATTTTTACCCTAGATGGAGCAGTTAATACTTCAAACTGCCGCATATGGGGTAATGCAAGTCCTAATATTGGGCATGCTCGGTCATTGCATCCTGATAACATTACTATATACTGTGGCTTTAATGCTGATTTCATTATTGATAGCTGTTTCTTTGCGGAGAATGCTCCTGAATACTTTTCTCTTTTATGGGTGTCCATTTTTGTACACTTCTTCATGAGCAAATCTTTCCTGCCTTACAAGAAGGAGAATGTTTAGAGTTTACGAGATGGTTCACCACCTGACATGATCAGGTGATTTCAAAACGTTTTCCAACTGCCTGGCCTCCTCGTTGTCCTGACTTAAAAGCCTTGTGAGTTCTGGTTACGGGAATTCCTGAAAGATCTTGCCTATGAAAACAGTATGTGGAGTATGCTTGAATTTAAAGCATGCATAATAGGTCATACTGCTGCAATTGATCGAGAAACATTCGCGCTACCGTTGAACATTCTGAACTTTGGGTGTTACTGGAACACGCATTGAACAAATGCTGTAAGTAAATAAACTTTTATCTTTCAATTCGTGTTTTTTATTCTCCCTTCATCCCTTTCTCGCATGGTGGTCGAAATTTGAGCTGTTACGTTTTACAGAATGCTTCTTTTCTGCATTGTCCAATATGACGTATATACCAAGTTTCAACAAAATGTGTCCATCACAACGGGCACTACTTCGATTTAAATAGTTAACTTTAACCATCCCATACTTAGATCTAGATATACAATATTTAGACCAACAGTGAGTGAAACAGAGGAGATACTTTAATTTCAAGCTCCGTTTAACCAAGGGCTGCGCTATTTTTACTTCTTGTATAAACGACACTTTTAAAATCTTAACAATTATCTAGACAAAATGACAAACTGTCAGGGACACAGGGACTGCATTCACAAACTAAGTCTGCCCTTATCAAAGCGGAACATGTGATAAGCCTATATATATATAACGTGATCAAAAATATTTGAAGAAAATAATGATTTGCCATCAGTTAGCCTTGTCTAAGATCTTAAATTTTATCACACTTTACAACCCTCTGTCGTAAAGTGTGATAAACTATATCGGCTAAAGTTCTATAGCATTTTATCGGCTTAAGTTCAATAGCATTCTAGTATATTTTCTGTTTTTGTGGAAAAGGAAATATTTTAATTATGAAAACAATAATTTTGCATACCTAGTTTACTGCATTTGTCATTAACAAATGTCATCATCAGGGGGCACTTACAAACTGCTTCGTAATTATCACCATAGAATTCACACTCGGCATTCTTTTCTTTGCAGTTTTTTCTATCGCATTTGCCTGAAAAAAATTAAGAATAAATATTAATTTGCATTCTAACAGATTTATAAAAATATTCCAAAATGTTACTCTCGATAAGTATGTGGACTTTTTTTCATCATAAAAAACTTTTAACGTAATTTCTAAAAGTGCTTTAAATGTTAGAGTGTGGCAAGATCTGCAGCTACTGCATTTATTTGGAATTTTCACTACAGTAATTATAAATAAAAATGCTAACAAAAGTTTGAAAAAATAGTATACAAAATAGAGAATAAAATATACAATAGCGGCATAACTTCATTTCAAGAAGGAGGTTGTTATATTTCATACTTCTAACTCGAATTATCATTTAAATATATAAGATATTATATGAATACCTTTATCTCAGGTATTCCTAATTATTAGTTTACTGGACAATGCATTTACAAATAATTTTGTGTATCCTGTTTTCAGCCAAACCCTGTAGTTTATTTGTAATTAAATTCTATATTCCTTCTTTTCTGAATACCTCAAGCAAAACAATATATTTGTAATAATAAAATTCCATAGTCAAGAATACACTTAAAATTCTAACTGCATGTTCTTTTCATTTTTAATGGCGACGGTCTCTTATTTGAAAGTATGTGGAATTAAATTCACAGCCCCGTAGTCAAGTTGTTTTTCCCGCCTTTTCTACACGCACAGTTATAGAATGTTCTGGAAATATTTAAAGCAAACTGGAATGGCTGACGTCATTTCTTGGAAGCTTCGCCTTTCCAGAGGCTATAAAAGGACTCGCAAAGGAATATCGGGGTCTTTTCTTTAATGTTACGATGCAGTAAACTTCATACAAAAAGGTTACTAGTAGTTCTTTTTCATTTACTCCGGAGATATGAATTTTGTTACTGCTATTTCTCCTGACCAATAATAAATGGATCCTGTTTTTTAAATTTATCGTCTGATAATTTAAGCTACGACTACATCTATGATTCTTCACCAATCTATTTATTCCGGACAAAAGCTGGTGCATCACAAGGAGTAGGCAGGATAGGTGTATCCAAAGAGGAATGTAATTCCCAAAAAAAAAAAAAAAATAAAAGAACATACAGTTAGAATTTTAAGTGTATTCTTGACTATGGAATTTTATTATTACACACACACACACACACATATACAACTATATATATTATATATATAATGGTATTTTAGTCACATGTCATTTCATTAAGCAAACTCGTAAACAAAGACATCTTAAACACTTATTATCTAATGTGGGTTTTACTAGTAACTATCCTAACAATTATGAAAACCACTATATGCTGCAGAAGGTAACACTTTTCAGATAGATATTTAAATGTTAACTGAAAGTGAAATATTAGAGTAAGTAAACCTTACATCACCTCTCTATACAGGGCCTTATCGTTTCCCATTATAATGATATAATCAGCCGCTGGACAAGTAGTTTGGAATGACATTTGAAATAACTCGAAAGCGCCTTCTAGGATATACCTTATTTGCTGGCGTAGAAGACGCACTTGCTGGCGTACAAGTATTTGCTACGGTAGTTGCTAGCGTAGAAGAAAATAGGTTTGGAAAACGGGGTGCGTCTTATATGTCGAGACTCAGTTTTTGATTAAATTCATTTCTGGAAATTTTCTCTATTCGGAGTTTTGCAATTTTTTTTCCCCTTGTTTTCTTGCAGGGTGTGGGGATATTACAATTACGTAGAGTTCAGTGAATGTGCATGCGCTGTCATCGACGATCACAGTTGGGCTCGTTTAAACTTTCCAATTTTTATTAACGACTGTTAAGTGTGTGAAATTTCCACTGTTCAGTCTTCTTAAATTTGTTGGCAAGTTATGGCTCAAAACCAACACCGGCATTGCTATAACACAGCATACAAGCTACGTGTGATTGCGTATGCTAAAGAACACGGAAACAGGGCTGCACAGAGGCTTTTCGGGCAGCCCCAACTGAGAAAATGATAAGAACTTGGTATAATTAGGAAGAGGATCTTAAAAAAAAGCAACTTACAGTAAATATAACCTACGCAGAATTCCACAATGGCCTAAACGTGAGGCACAGATGAATACTTGGATTTTATACCACAGAAAAGCGGGTCCTTTAAGAATCTTCAAAAAAGGATTATTCATCAAGCTAAAGCGATAGCGACTGTAGAGAGATTGCAGATTTTACTGGATCAACATTATGATGTTCAAGATACTGTGTATCAGACACGTATATAGTATTGCTCTAGAATATATATTTTGACACAAAATGATATTTTTTTCTGAAATGACATGCTGATTTTGTTTTCCATAGTTCGATTCGAAGCCTCAGATTATGCCTAAATGCCAAATTTTGCAAACGTCCTGCCAACAAAATTGCATTTATTCAGGTCTAAACGTTGGAGCTAACTTAATGGTGGTGGGAGTTCACTTCGGTATTTTGTAGGTTACATTACCTTTTTGTTTATTACTTCAAATATTGATCACCACATGAAATATCTTTCGGTTTATTAAAACTTGAGATACTAATTCTGCACTTAAAAAAATTAAAATTTTCATAAAAAGCTGAAATTTTTGCTCTGAATATTTAGAAAAGATTTAAGATGTCAGAAAAATGTTACAGAATTTTCTAGGAAAATATTTCTTTAAGAGAACGTTTTTTAGAAAGTGCTTTAAAATTTCATTCATTTGCGAATACAGTTTGGCACATTTAATAGTCTGCCATATCAGGTTTTTTGGGGGTTTATCTCTACATATAATAAAACAAAGAGTCTGTCTGTGTGTGTGTGTCTTTCGTTCGCGTTGCGCGTAAGCTAATAGACCCACGGCTACGAAATTTGGTACATAGGTGCATCTAGACAAGAGCCAGTGCACCTCGAAACGATTTTTTTGAAATTCGAATTAGAATTTTTTTATTTTTTATGTTTTGTAATGAAATCGCGTCATTATGAGATATAATGGGCTATAGGAAAGCGAGATTTTACTCTACGCACTCCATTTTCAAACCGTCATGAAATGTAGGCACTTAGCTATTTTACGAACTTAAAATAAATTTCGTGTTTCAATAAATCGATTAAATACGAATTTATTTAACAAAGTGAGCTTAACACCTTTCAACGGGATTTTTCTAAAACAGTTTTTATTTTTAAAAATTACAGTTTTTTTCTTCGATTTTTGGACACGTTAAACTTTCATCCTTGCGACTGCTTTTACCAAAAGAATCTTGGAAAAATGATAATATTTTGTATTTTTAAAACATTTCTTAAATGAAGCTTCCGAGTACACATCTCACATCTTTAAAAATGTGATATTGGCAACAATTTTCCTTTCTTATTGTTGTTGATAGATTTTTGATGAAATCGCATCATTTTGAATAGTTTCATTCTTTCAGAAATATGGGTTTGGCAACAATTTTTCATCGTATTTCTTATGTCACTGTTTTTAAGATATTGGCATATTTCATTGTCATTTTTTATATATATAATACATTTTTATTGATGTTTTTTATAAACGTTGTTCTGCAGAGTAACATTGTGTGCGGAATTTTTTGTTTTTTGAGTTTCTTTTATGTTATTTTTTGCATATTTCACTGTTTTTAAGATACTGAAAAGTTTTGAAGGATTTTTTTTAGGAAATAAAGTTCTTAACCTCCTTCTTACCATTTGAGTTCTTAAGATTTTGCAAAGGGAAGTTGGTTAATTTATTTATTAGGATAATTAATATTTGTATAAACGGATATCGCTTATTTCATTGTAACTTTGTTATATGTAATAACTTTTTTTTATGAAGTTTTTCTGCAGAGTAAAATTCTATGCAGTTTTTAAATTTAACGTTTGGTGTTCCCTTCAGTCTTTTCCGGTACATTTAAAAGCCAGACGAAGGCTGGCAGTGAAGCTGCTAGTATGTGATAAAACATATCCATATGCGAAAAAAAAATGTTAGTATGTATCAACATGCATAAACATTAAGTGTTAATAAAAAAAGACTATCTATAACAAGTCATAGACTATTTTTTATGAAATTATGCTTAAAAGTTTGCTGAATTAATGATTATAAGTGTGGTATATATTTATGTACTTTCAAAACATTAAACACTGTTTTCGTCTCTGTTATAAATACTAATTACAACCTATAAAATCATTGCAGTTGCTCACATTTGTTTTCTTGATATTGTACAGAGTTCGGCAAAAAGAACGAAGGAATTTTTGATAAGGCCTTATTTGTTTGTGGTCTCATCAAAAAATCTTCTCAAGTCTACCACTTAGAATTATTCACTAGAGAACTGTTAATTCCTTTTGAAGAGAGATGGCGCTGCCATCGCTCTTGCTAACAAAAGAATGTTTTTACCTTTTGTTTTTAGAAGCGAAGCGGAGTGTGTGACGTTGCCTGAGTGTATTCCGTAAATAAATAAAATAAAATGATATAATATAATTTAGTTTATTGACTTGCAGTCCATTTTAGTAATTAGCCGGACCATTTCGAGTGGTCCAATACGAACCGTAGCGAAATCGGCTAAGTATAGAACGTTAAGTAAATAAGCTATTTACGGAACAGAAGATTTTGCCATTTTGTTTCTGGAGAATTTATGTTTGTAGATTATATCCAGATGCTGAAAGAGGCATAAGTAACCCTTGAAATTCTACTTATGATTAACTATTACATTTAGTAAATTCGAAATTAAATCTGTATGATAGCATATTATTATTGATAAGTGTAGTGAAAATTTCTACGAAAGTGAAAGATGTGCTCACTAAAAACAGAACTCGAAAATTTATCTTATCGAAATAGAAAAAGAAACTTTCTCAGCCAGATTTAAATGTTAGTGACTTAGAATTATTAATAACTAAAATAAACCATCTGCAAACTGAGTTTGATAGTATTTTTGATTCCATTATGAATTTAAGTACTGAAGAAAATGTCGAAAAAATTCTCCAGTAAGCAAGATGAAATCAATACTAGACTTGATATAGAATTTGAAATAAATAATAGATTGTCGTAAACTAGTAAAGTGAATAAGTTGGAAAATACTGTAATTTCTGTTGTGCGTATACCTAAGATTTCGCTACTCATATTTTCCGAAGAAACAAATTCTTGTCTTTCCTTCAAGGATACTTTAACCACATCACCGTTTCTCCCTACACAGACGTTAATTTGAAGTGTCTTCAGACGTTCATTTGACGACAGACATTTGTTTGGGTTTGACGTTCATTTGACGACAGACATTCGTTTGGGTTTGACGTTCATTTGACGACGAACATTTGATGGCCTGGGGCGTTGCTGTGGAGAGAGACTCGTTGTTTCGTGTTTTCTAACCGCCAAACTGCAGCGAAAATTAAAGTAAGTGACTAATGGTTCTACTGATCATCCTTTCGTTGCAGCGGGATTGTATTAAGATCATGCAAAGGAAAGCTCACCTCATAAAAAGAACAGTAAATAGCAATACACTTCTGGCGGCCGTTCAGATGACATTGCAGTGGAACTACTGCTTATTTGAAAGCATGGCTTTATGGGACAGTGTTAATTTTCAGATTAGAGACCAGGGAGCACAGAAGAATTTATCGCCTGGGTATGGAAACAATATTCAACATCTTTGAGCGTGAAAGTAGGCGGTTTCCTAAGTAGGTTTCGTCAACTAGTGGAATCAGGAAAGAAAAATTTCGAAGGCGAATTTCAGGTGCAAATATTTTATCGTTGGAATAAAAAAGGGATATATATTTTATCTTATAGGACGGTGAGGTGGTTAATGCGAGTATTGATCAGAATTCAAATTTGTGAGATGCTATGAAATTGCAATATTTGAAATCAGCACTAACAAATAGGCATCTCGTAATTTATATTTAAACTGAATAAATGTAATTGACTACTGTGTCAGCTGTGACCGTAATTCTATTCTTTTGCTTTCCAGAAATCTCGAGAAAACGGAAATTACCAGGACATTTTCGTGCCCGATTAAAAAACTTTAAAAAGCCAGATAGAAACATCTCAGCTCAGTTGTTTACTTAGTTGCTGCTATGAATTGTAGCGAATTCGGGGTAAGATCGGATTAGCTTTCTCTGCGCTTTGGATTGCGTTCTATTTAACGTTTCAGTAGTTTAAAATATAACTACTGTATGATATTGCGATATTGTACCTATATCTTCGAGGAAAAAAACCAGCGTTTTGTTTTATTTGTAGCGATAATAATAAATTTTATTAATATTTTTATCAACTTGTGCATTTAATCTATTATGAACTCATAGCTCACGTAAAAATATATATATTTTTTATGTGGTTTGTTTTTACTTGATCCTGTATAAAAGTAAGGTTATTGGCGAAAAATATCTTTCTCGCCTGGACTGTAAAGGCTAATATTTTAGGTTCTGGATTGTTCTAGTCTAGAAAATCTTGCGGAAAGCATATAAACAAGCGTTGCCGGCTCGATTTAGTTCTGTCTTCTTATTACTTTCTAGTGAAATTAAACTCAGCGCTTCATATAAATAAAGAGAGATATAAATTAGTTCATATAGTATTATAGTTAGTGCTGTATAACGCATTGTTTGTTATCTTTGATTATTGCTCTTGTATCTTTGATGATAGATCGATATTTGAATAGCAACAGACGAAAGAGGGCAGGTAAAGAAAGTATATCTTCAATCAGTGGCACGACTGCGTAAAAACGAAAATATGCTAACGGTTATTTAGAGTTTGGGGGGTTTCACTTCAGCAGGAAAGAATGGTTGATCAGAGACCACAATATGTATTGTGTATGAAATTTTTGCAATGGTGTGTATGCCTCCAATTAAATTCAAGCGCCATTTAGAAACTAATCACCACAGCATGTTTGGTAAACCTCGCAATTTTTTTTGCCAGGAAGTTTTTCTCAGGAACTGGAAAAATAGGCGATACATTTTCTAAGAATGCAGCAATACTAAGCAACACTTTGCTGTCATCTTACAGGGGGGTATGCAGAATCGCGGAAAGCAAGCCACCTCATACTATTGCAGAAGAACTTACTCTACCGGCTGCTGTAGATATGGCAAACATCATGGTTGATGACTCTGTTGAAATGTTGCTTTTAAAAGTTCCTTCGTCTAATAGCACAATTAACCAGAGAATAGAACATATAGCGGAAGTTATCAACGATCAGTTTATTGAAAAATATCAAGAGTGGATTGCAGTTAGACGATGCTACGGATCATAATAAGAATGCTAATTTGATATGCTACTTACGGTTTATGGTAATTAAGAATATAACAGACTTTCTGTTTTGTAAACATATGACTGCAGGAGCAATGGCTGAGGAGCTGTTTGAGATTTTGAACATTTTCTTATCTGAAAATAATTTGATTTTGCCGAAGTATGTTGCTATCTGTAACGACGGAGCTCACTCCATGTCTGGCTGCAATTGAGGATTACAGACACTTACTGGAAGGAAATCACCAAGTAGCACTGCATACCCATTGCATTATTCATGGGGAAAGTTTTATCATCCAAGTCCTGTACTGAATCAGGTGTTTGAACGTGTGGTGAAATTAGTAAATTTTATATCTCGCCTACTGAAATTAAGGTTTCTAAAAAAAACTGTGTCAGCATATTGAAACCGAACAAAAAACAACAAGAACAAAAAAATCTTGGAAAGGAAAGTACTATGAGGCATTTTCTCCCTCATGCAAGTAATGCTAATGAAGTAATGCATGTCTTCGTGGTGTAATTTGAAGCATACTCGATACGTAAATTTTAATTTATATGTAACTTGTATTTATAAAATAAATATACATATGCTTTTGAACTTTCAAGATGGTAAGCTTCTGCTATATTTACCAACAATAACTGCTTTATTGACGTTAAACATAATATATATATATATTAAATACAATACTAAAATTTCCAAATTTCCAAATTTAAAAAATTGCCGGTATATTAAGATTGGTTAAAATTCTTATAAACGGTTTCAGATACTTACTTATGCAGGCATTATTTCCAACTCTTTCATAGCCCTGTTTGCATTCGCATTTGTAACCTAATTTGGTATCTGAAAGTAATTCTTCACACGTTGCATTCTTTTCAGAACATATTTCATTTCCACCGCCATCTCTACACATAGCCTTTCCTGTAAGAAAAGAAAATATGTAAACGATTCAAATAAAAATGTTGAGTACTTACTTTCTTATATAAACACATGAAGTTTTACTGTCACATAGCATTGTTAAAGTGTAACGCATGAGAAAACATTCGTTTAACCTAAATGTTAATTACGGATTCGCTATGTGAAACATGTAAATGATAAAGATAACAATAGGTCTGAACACCTTGTTGTAAATGCTTTTCCTTTAAGATGTTTTGGTTAATGGAACCTCAAAATGAGTTCTCAAACTGCGTTTCTCAGATTTTTACACCAGTACACTGTTTCAGCAAAAGAGGATTTATTATAATCCATGTAATATTATGTTTTACGATAAAGTGTTAATAAAAATATTGGATTGCTAGAAATCATTATTTTCATACTAAGAAGTCACGGTTAATTTTAGCATCAATAATAAAAATAGGACTCTAAACATATCATATGATCGATCGCAACACACAAACGAATGATGAAATAGAAATTGCAACTTTCAGTTATTTCATTTGCATTTCTTTGTATCCTGCTCAATGTTTTTAAAAATAAGCAATATTGGTACAAATAGCTAGTAACCGTCTGCAGCCTTTATCTATGAGTAGTTGGCAATTTTTTTGGAGAAGAAAATTAAGTCGTCTTTAAGACACAACTTTTGTCTTGCAATAATTCGAAATCAGATCCCTTAGAGGCCACTACGTGATATAGCATTATGTTTTTGCAAGCATCTTTGCGAAATAGAAAATAAATTAATGCTTCAGTGCAAGCATTCTATGACTACAGTTAGCCGAAACCATCGCATTATGAAATGTTGCGACAACGTCATCATTTTAAACGAATCTCTTTCACACCTAAACTATACTTAATATCTTACCCCATATTAGCGTGATACTATGTTAACAGGCATAAATGAAGATAACTGATGCAGAAACATGCAATTTTTCTGTTAATGGTGATATAATGTCTGATACAATGGAATTCTCTTATTGCAGGCGTCTTATGTTATTGCTGATGTTTATGCGACAAAGACATAAAGTATATCTTTATCTGGAATGCTACAAATAAGAATCGTTAAAAGTATTGTAATGTATTAAACGCTTCGTAACTAACTAAGTAATTTTGTATGCAAATCATACCTAAATAAAAATGTTAGTCTTAGAACGTTTACAAACTGTTAGGTTTCCTTTTTGTCAATAGCACTAATTTTTATAATACAGTTTTCAGGCAGCAATTGATTAAATTTCATTCCTCAGGATTCAAAAGTTTTCCTTTTAGAAAAGACATAAATTATTTATAAGTAAGATCGAATTTGCTATTATTCATATTGGAATGCCTTGAACTTTATCGAAACCTTAGTGGACTGAGATTTCTGAAATGTTCTGTGGAGACTAGACAGTCTGGATGAATGGTCTGCATCTATGCGATTAGTACTCTGTAAGGTTTGTAAAAAGTAGTTTTTTGTTAGGAAAAACTACGCGTAGGTACTGATACTAGATATCAGCTTTTTACGTCTCATCATCATAACCGCTCTGCTTAAAGCAAGGATCAATCTGAATTTGACTTTATGTCATGTGACTTTACGATGTAGTTGTTTCTCCTGCTCTATGCACGCTCACGTAGCTTCTGCGTGTAAGACTTCAGCCGCACCTACTCATGTATTTACGAATGCATTATTGCTTAAATGGACTAATTTCAGCATCTTTGTTTAAATGCTTGAACTTTCACGAAGGAATGATTTTCCTGGCTTGCCACCAGTGTGTTTTAGTTTTTTCGTCCCCCAGGACGCGGCACACAAGACAGTGTGCCTTTGATTGAAAAAAAAATAAAGTAAGAGCCCAAGGGCCAAGATATCTACTGGTGATTACTCTTTGTAGTAGAGGCCAGACTTTAAATTTACGATCCAGATCCAGATCCGCGTAGGTACTGTCTCTAACGAAAATTGCTCTTAAATGATTTGCTGAAAAACACGCCTAGAAGAATGTTTTGAGCCACGTAAACCCGTTGCATTTTTTTTAAATAAAATATAATCTGAAGTAGCATTATAAAACAGAATATGTATTTAAAGTAAAATCCCTTATTGCTTGGACAGGCATATGATTGAAAGACAGAAGTTTTCATATGATGGAAAGATAAGAGAAATATGGCGCATAGCTAAAAAAAGCATAGTGGTACTGAGTGGAACAATGAAAAACCTAAAAACTGATAAGAAATGCATTAACATAATTGAAATTTTTATAAATTATAATCTTTTATTCCTTAGTGAAGTGCATAGATTAGGGAAGGATTCTCCCGTATAGGGAAGTTCATAGTTTTAGGTAAGGGGAGTGCGTACAGCCTTCTACTTATCTGTTAAGTATTTAGTTTTAGTTCATGAATAAAGAAAATACTTTTATTCATGTTTCATTATTTATCAACCTTTCTAATGCGTTTCCTGGCTTAATTTATGCAAAAGCATTTAAAAATATGCAATTTTAAATCAATTTAAATGTATTTTTCGGGTTTGGGAAAGAAAGAGGAAAATAATCGTCTTATAGGGTTTGTATTTATTTTAACTAACATTTATTTTAAGTTTAAACTATCTTTCCTGTCAAGCCTTACTTCCCCTGGAACTGCCAATGCCAGAGTATGTAAATTTTAGTTGAACGCGCAAGGATTCAAATTATCAGCTGAAGTATTCTGAGTTAAATAGAAAGGAAACGAGTTCGAGGTGTGCTGTTCTTACTTCACGAGCGCGGAGGTAGTTAGACAGAAATTGAAGAACCCGCGTTTCGGCCTGTGTGCTTGCCTTGAAGAATTGTTAATCGTTCAACGTGATCTTCAAGTTTGCTGAATTAGCAGCGGTATTGTAAAACGCGGTGAGGTTAGTTACTTTTAGAGAGCCTCGTAGTTAGAGTCTTGTTATTTAGTTTTCTTTTCAGGTTCTTATTTTTATTTTACCGCCGAGTTGGCGTAGTTTGTGAGCGTCAAGAGCACGCATTGTAATTTATTACGTTGAAAAAAAGGGACTTAAACCCTTATCAAGACTCTGTCATTTATCCAGTTTCAACAGTCACCTCTTGGTTGCGTGCGAGTTGGAGGCGCGCAACTCTACAGTCTAACAATGGCAAAAAGGGTGCATGGGGCAAAAAAAGGTTGAGAATCACTAGAATAGATGTTTGATATCTATATTTAGAGTAGGTATCAAACCGCAACCAATGAAAAATCAAAAATCATGAACTCATAGTATTTATTTAATAAAAAAAGAGTGAATTCATAAAATTTGTAAGAATTGTTTTATACTTATACACCAAAATAAACTTAATTTTGGTGTATATAAGTGTTTCTTAACCTTAATTTCTGTCATGTTTAGTTTCAGTTCCTGTTTATTGAATTCCGTAAGACATTGCTTTAATACTTATGAAGTTGTCCGCCAACTTAATTCCTTTTTACATAATTCAAAAAAAGCATTTTTTTAACCTAATACTACATTTTTTAGCCTTTACAATCTTCGATTCTTACGATGTGTCTTTCGTGGTACCTTCTTAGACTGCCAGTAACAGCTGTCTTGATCAACTTGGTATAAAGATGATATTTAAAGAGCAATCTAATGTGTATAATCAATAAAAGTTTATCAAACAATATAAGCACTTGTAAGAATGTTCCTTAAAACCGTAATCTGACATAAAATTTAAAACTGCGTACAAGAGTTTCTGAATATTCGAGTTTATCATAGATAGCTTTATTTTTCTTTAAAGAAACGGCTGTTTGAAATCTGATTCGGGATGATAATAATAATGGAAATAATACTGAATTCGTTTCAAAATAAGTCTATTTACATTTTAATTAAAGATCCAGCGAAATAAATGCTAGGAAGGGGCACATTTTAAATTACCCTATAGTGTATGTATATGTGTTCTTAATGCAGTGCTACTATTCGCTGTTCCATGAAACATTCATTTTCGTTGAATTCTAACTAAGAAGTAAATAACACTTTATTTAAATTTCTAGAAGTATATTTTCTTCCAGAAAGTAATTAGTCCTGTAAAGTTTCTATCAGTCGGAAAAAAATCGGATTATTTAAAACATTTATTAATCACATAATTTTTCCTTTAACAATTGATAGCATATTTTTTAGTTTAGCATATGTAAATTCATTACATTCCTGAATTTAATTTATTTGGATCAAAGATGTACTTACTCCTGCAGTGGATTTCGTCTTCATCCTGCTCATAAGGTTCTGTACATTTACATCGGAATCCACGATCATAACTTTCGCACTTGTTTTCAGGACACATTCCTTCCGGAGGTTGACCTTTGTTTGTGCAGTAATCTGCATAAAAGAAGATAATGGTTATTTTACGTCATCGTTCTTTTTCGATGCTAATTTGTGTTGGCTTTATTTGTTTACAAATAAAAGATTATGAAAGCCTTTTTTAAGTTCCTACAAATATGCCTCTTTGAGTTCAGCAGATGCTGAGTTATGGCTCTAAAAATAAATGTTTCCTGAGATCAAAAGCCTACGTTCCAAAACACGAAAACATATAATTGATGACTGATATTCAGTAGAATTTAGAGGTTGATATATATATAATAGGTAACCTTTATGTAATATTTTCATTATTTAATAAATATCTGTATGATATTGCATGATTACATATTTACATGTTGATGCGCACTTTGTATGTATTAATATCCGATGTATTTTTACATTCTTGCATCTCGTTTTGATTTCGTTCTGTATTAGAAAACGTAAATTTATCTGCATGCATAGTTGCAATTTTTAAACTTACATCTTCACTTTTATTGACGATTTTCCACACTTGCATGGAAAAATTTGTAATTCTGGTGCACTCTGCTACCCTGCCATGTTTTACTTTCCTTCGTCTATTAATTTTACATGTATACAATTCGCTACCCGATATTTAGGATTTTTGAGTTGGGATGGGTCCGAGGGTTTCCCACCCCTCTTCCTCTACCTCCAAATCACACGAGATGACTTTTGGTTAGCAATATATGTACAGTACCTCCATGCAGCACAGAAACCATTCATTTACAAACATCCATGCCTTCTCCATGAGTCACTAACCACTATACCTTTGGGGGGGCCGAACGGTTGTAGTAGTTATTGCTAATGGTTGCTGCATCACAGGCTAGAGTTTGAATCCAACGATATGAAAATTTGCAAATCTATAATATATTGATTCTCTTTTTATTGAATTTTGAAAGTCTTAAAAGAATTCACTCGTTTTAAACGAATTTACATATAATATTAAGCAAATCGTCAGAATGCCATTACAATTTACACAAAGTGGATCTCTCTCGCCATTCAGAAGATGCTCGGGAGTCAATCGATAATGACCAGTTCTGAAGAGAATTAACCCTCTCAGCGTTATGGATGAAACATTCCGTACAAAAAAGTGGCTTTCTGATTTATTACACATGAAAATTTCCACCAGCTTTTAATGTATTCGATTTCAGGTTGAATGTATATTGAAAGAAAAGGAATCAAGATGCAAAGTGAGAGAGTAATTGTTTAGTTATAATAAAGAAACTACCATTTATTCATGACATTCTGAGAAATTTTAAAATTCCTGGCATCTTCCAGTAAAGCCGTAACGCTCTAAAGGTCTTTTCCGTTTAGCGTAGACAGCCAACGCTAAAAAGGCTTACAGCCGAAAACATCGCGGACGAAAACGTCGCGGAGAAAACAACGCAAGACGAAAACGTCGTGATACAAAACATCGTGGGAGAAAACATCGCAGTTCTAAAACATCGTGATACAAAATATCGTCGTCCAAAATAAAGCGGTTCAAAAATTTCGCAGTTTAAAAAACATCGCGTCGAAAATATCGTGGTAAAAAATAAAGTATCTACAAATCATCGCATGACGATAACATCGCAAACATGTTTTTTTCAGGCTTTAATAATTGTAAATGGATATTTCCATAATGATTTGTGAGCGCAAGATGGAAAGAAGGACATTCTTTACTTTCATATTTTTTATTAACTAATAAATTTTTGCTGAAAAAGTAAGAAGGAAATTTAAACATAGAAAATTAAGGCAACTTATGGCACTTAATATAATTTTAAACTGACATAGTTAACTAACAAAGGTCATTAATAAATAATTTTTTATAAAGTTTGTACTGGTAATTTTTTCATTAAAAGTATAATCTAAAAATGTTAGAAAAAGGAAGCTACGTAACTGCATGAACTATCTATAAAAAATTGCTAATTATGGAGTATTTTCTTCACTTTTGTCAATCTAATACTCTTAATGAAAATTATTCTTCTTCTGCTTAGTTTCTTTAGTTTTTAAGTATTAAGTTTCCTTTTTTTTTAGCAAGAATTGATTAGTTAATAAAAAATATGAAAGTAAAAATTATCTTTCTTTCCATCTCGCGCTCACAAATCATTATGGGAATATCCATTTACAATTATTAAAGCCTGAAAAAGCAGGTCTGCGATGTTATCGTCCTGCGGTGATTTGTTGATACATTATTTTTTGCCGCGATATTTTCGACGACGATGTTTTTAAACGGCGAAGTTTTTGAACCGCTTAATTTTCGACGACGATATTTTGTACCACAATGTTTTAGAACTGCGATGTTTTCTCTTTGCGATGTTTTCTCCCGCAATGTTTTGTAGCACGACGTTTTCGCCTTGCGTTGTTTTCTCTGCGACGTTTTCGTCCGCGATGATTTTGCCGCGATGTTATCGGCGGACACCCTAAAAAGTATATTTAAGACTTTTTGGTTTGTTGTTTACTTGATCATCACAATGCGTGTGTCACTTATATTGAGAATTTTACTTTTGATTAACTTCCTCATATTCACAAATGAGACCTAAAATCTGGACACTGTAGCAGAAGATTTAGCAGTAATATCCGCTAGTTTACTCTCTTTTATGTCAGCTTGCCCAGGCATTTAAAAAAAAAAATCTGATATCCCCACATTTTAGAGACTGATTGAGCTACAGATTTCCGGCAATTACGAGACGTGAGCCATAAGCAAAATCTTTCAGTCGCTTTCAGTTCTTTTCGCTATTGACCTCAGAAAATCTGCGTAAACAATGAATTATTTGCAGCTTTTTTGAAAGAGGAAAATTAAGCCCTCATAAACAGCATTACGTTCAGAAGTAAAATTTGGGCAAGATAGGTGCAATCAAAAACATATGAATGGTTTTCGCACTATAAACCTTGCACAAGCAGGATCCCTGGATTTTGATCCCTCTATATAGAGCAGTATATATTTTCTCTATTTATGTCTATTTTCCGCGAAGATTCGTCTGTAACTCAGGTCAATAGTGTTGGATTAATAGTGCTAGATTAAGCTTGGAATGTATCCTTAGAACCTTGGAATTAAATGTCTGTTCCTCGGAGACAGTATATGGAAAGTTTTCTAATTATAAATTATTATGAATTATCGGTTTATTTCTTCTCAGCTTTAGCACAAGTCATAGGATTTTAATTTATTTTTAATTACTTATAATATATATACATATATATAAATGAACATGCATATTTGTTTACTTTTGGTGCTGTCGATTGCAATCAAAAAATGAGATGCACAACTACATGTTATAGCAATCTCATATACAAAATTTCAACCTTCTGACACTACTCGTTTTCGACTTATGCAAGATGCATACAGACCTCACGAAAAAAAATTTCTTCCAAGTCCATTTTCAATCCATTTTGTGAAAAAAAAAGTCATTTATTCTGTCCTCACATACAAATGTAACGCAAAAACATCGTTCAGATGGATTTGAGAGCCGTAAAATTATATATTTTCCTTGAAATATGATACCCCAAATTTTTCGCCATTACAGTACGTCCTTTGCTTCATACAAGGAAGTAAAAATCCCTTAATAATAACGTAATATTTTTGCAATTGATAAGATAGTTACTGGTTCTTAAAAGGTGCAAACTGATTTCCTTAAATCTCTTAAAATATGTCTGAAACAAGTATCATTCTTTATCGTTTTCGTTTCTTGAAGAAGACTGGCCTAGTAAATGGTTTCAAAAAACATTTACTGTAGAAACTTGTACCTCGGAAAATTTTCTTTAAGCATCATGTGTTGATAAATGTGATAGTCAGAGATTAAAAGTTAGGAGAAGTGGCAAAGCCACATTAATGGAAACAGGAACGTGCTGCACCCAGAGGAAGGTTAAAATAGAAAAATAAACTTTCACGTTTCTATATATGCATACATCCATGTATGTATGAGTGTGTTTTGATCATCTTCATTCTACAAAAACTTCTACCGTCTGCCATAAACTTTAAATCGCCCACTAGTGAGAAGTAGGTACCCAGTTGACTATCCCTGATGTAGACAAACGGAATTCCATTTGCGACATTCAACGTAACATTCAATGTACAGGCTTCCCTATGCAGTTGTTCTAAACGCAGATCAGAAGTGCCTGGTGATGCGCAGAAGAACGTTTTGCTAACATAAAACGCTTTTCTTACCCATAAATATTTCACCTATAATCACGTTTTGAGAAAAAAGAACTCTATAAATAAGTAGTATTGAACTGAGATCGGTTCAATAGAAGATACTTGGCAGGAATTTGAGTTTAAGAACATTCATAATTTTTAAACATTTCTTTTTTAAAAATATGTCATGGGGAAGGTAAGTAAGCTTATGTCAAATGACATACCTAAGAATATCCCCTTTTGATCTGTAGGAAACAATATGTCCTCAAAATAAATTTCCAATTCAATATGAGGGGCTTGTCGTGGCAGAAGTGCACACACACGGTCTCCTAGGTGGAAAACATTCTTCTGCGACTATTGCATGTCTGTGCCTGAAGACTAACTTTTATGTCGTCAACATATAAGATTACATGGACTTATGGAGGGAGCTGTTTTAAAATCGAGTTAATTTCAAAACTAAATATTGTGATACGTAGAACGCAGGCTTGAGAACCATCCTTTTCTTGACTAAATACACCACAAAGTAGAAAAATAACCTTTATATAAATTTTCGATCCTCTAAAAATATTTTATAACAGGAAGATTTCCTCAAAATCCATTATTAAACAGATCGCTAAGCCATTATTAAACAGATGATTCAAACAAGCATTTCAGATATCAAATCGACAGTTTCATATACTTTATTTTCCATGCATGTGCCTATAGTTTGTATCGTAAATCTTTATATATAGTTTTTCATAAACGTAACTTTAAAATATGCGCTTTTGGAAATTGTCAGCAGTGGATGAAACTGCGGTAACACTTCTGTCAGAATGCGGTATTTTGCTGCTAAAGGAATAATTACATTGTATTTGTTCTTACAGCGATCATTGAGAAATTCTTTAATACGAAA